CCCCTTGCAAGGCGACAGCCGCATGGGTGGGGGCTGCTGCCTCTGTGGCAAGACATGGCAGCAAATTCCCTGTAGCACCCAGCTGTCGGATACGGACAGCCCCAGCCAGGAGAGGCAAGCTTCCCGCCAGGGGGCACGGGGCTGGTACTTACCCGTCCATTGCCTTCCGGGAATCCCTGCCTGCCGCCTGGCTCCACCACAGATGGCTTTTTAAGCACATAAAATATAAGTGCTGCTATGTCTCCATGTCCCTGGCAGTTTTGTCCTCTCCATCGCGCGAGGGTGTTTCGGGGCTACGAGCTGGCTGCACCCCTAGCAGCATGTGTCCGTGGGCAGGAGGAGGGGACCCAGCGCGTCACTGGCGTGTCTTCTCAGGCACCGTGACGGATGCGTGAGCAGCCAACCCTCTGGCCGGGGCATGCTGAGGTGGGGGCGCCTGCCAAGGGGGCGCCTGCCGCAGGCATCAAGGCTGTGCGAAGGGTGTGAGCTTCGCCGAGCCCCAGCTCCCGGAGTCGTGGGATTCGGGCTGGTATCTCACCTCCCTGCTAGGTGAGCAGGAAGGGCCGGTGAAGGCTCGTCCCCTCCTACATTCACAGGCTCTCCAAAGTCAGGAAGCAAAATGAAAACCAACCGACGGTTTTGGTTTTTTTTCTTCCCCAAGTCTTGTGATTTTAAGCAGAGTCATGATTCAGCAGAGTAATGATGCTGCCTTGAGTGAAAAGAAACAAGCAGCCCCGCTGCTGCTGGCTGGTTTGTAAGCCAGGATTAAACAGCACTGGGTACCCAGAGGATAAACCCCAAATCCGAGGGGGCCACGTGAATACAGAGCTCATCTGCAAAGTGCAGACACGCTGCTAGCACCTCGCTCCTGCAAGAGCAAACAGGAGATTTGAAGCTGGGGCATTAGTTCTGCCCAGCGTTAAATACTTTCACCTATATTGTAGGAATCGTCACTTTACAGCCCGGTTATGTCCCTTAAAGCTGTCAGTGTCAAGTGATGCTCCAAACCCATTTAGATACCTCATCCAGTGTCTGACCATGAATACAAAAAAGACACTGGGAATTCTGGCAGCAGATGACTTAATATTTAACACCCCTGACAATTCCCCCTTTACAACATCGTCTTTCTTTGTTCTTCACCCTGTGCTAATTAGCGAGATGAAGTTTTAATAAGCTGGGTTTTCACTTTAACCCTGCATGTCACTTGCGGTGCTGCCGGCTCATGACTAAACATGACTGAGGGCTCTCGCTTTCCTCTGCCTGGAGGCACATCACGGTGCCTGAATTTGTCTGAGCTGCAAAGATTTGTGGAGACTTTAAAACAAAGTGAACTCTCCTGGTCCACTCATATCAAAGTGCATTGGACATGTGGGAGAGAAAGCTCCGGTGCTCTCCCTTCGTGGACATCTCTGTGTCCACCTTGGAGATATCCTACAGCCCCTGGGGGAGTAGGAGGCAGCCTGGCCCTGAAGCCACGGTCCATGGGGTAACCCAGAGCCCAGCAGCCAGTTCCTCAGCACCTGCAGGGCCAGCAGCTCTCGGAGAGGCATCCCCTAAAACCAGCCAGCTCGTGCCCAACAGCAGTGAAAGCAAAACACCAAATACATGGAGTTCCACGTGCCAGCACAATAAGATTATACAAATCTCTGCCCAAAAAAAAGAAATGAGAGCGATAACTGCAATAATTGCATCACTCCCACCGAAGGAGCCAGCACCAGGCAGGGACGTGGCCCAGCGGGGCTGATCCAGTGGGCAGGTGTATGAAACCCTGGTGCAAGGCATCAGTCTGCTATTAGCTTATTTTATTTGCCATGTGTGCCGTATAAGATACACAGCCAAAATCTTTTTGGCTGTCTTTTGGTCCCCCAACCCAATTCCTGCCGGTATAAGATGTGCTTCATCTACCACCCTATCACTCCAACAGCCTCTCTCCCCAGTGCTCCTGTGGGCATTAATCTCATTCCTTCTCATCGCCATCCTCCAAGACAAACTGCTCCACCGGGGCACAGCGGGACCCGGTGCCCCGTTTTGCCCCCAGAGATCCTTTCTTAAAAGAGCTGATTCAGCGCTTTGGGAGCGCTCAGCATTTCAGATGCTGAGGCAGGCTGAAACCCGAGCCCACCCCAACACCCAGGCGCTACAACACGATATGGGGAAGAAATGGAAACCTAAGTACATCCCTTTGGCACGGCCCCTGCGATTTTCCAGACATTGAGTCACCATGAAACTCCAGGCGGTGGCAGCTCCAGAGAGTGGCGGATGGCTCATGGAGCTGGGCTGGCAACTCAGGACCCCAAATTTCCATCTGTATCAAACAGCCAACGATGCTGGACAACCTTGGGCCAAATGCAATCATCAGTCCCTTAAAGTGCTCCCTGGCAGCTCTTCCATGTGCAGATCCAGCCATGCAGACGCAACCCCCCGACCCTCATCCCCCACTGGGCTGTGGGTGTCTGCTGTGCTGGGCACTTGCCCTTTGGGCACCATGAGTATCCCAAGAGGGAGAGGGAAAAGAGAAAGAAGGATTTGTGCTTTCTAAAATAGCTTTGGCTGCTTGTCGCCACCGCCGGCACTTGCTGATGGAGGGGCTGTCCCAGAAACCACTCCAAACCCAACCCAGTACATTGCACAATGCGCTGCGTAAACCCATCTGCTGAAGTTTTCACTGCCAAACATCTGTCTAGCGGCAAAAGTTGAAGCTGCACCTTGCAAGTGGAGCCAGGGACATGTCTCCGGACTGTGTTAATCTTCTCCGGGCGGCAAGGCTCCTACCCATCACAAGAAAAACTCGTGCGGCTCCTACACGGCAGAGTGCGAAAGGCTTGCACCCCAAGGTCAGGGCGCAGGTTTGCACTGACACCCCGCTCCCCGCGGGCCTTTCCGAGCCTGCCCCTGCTGCCGGTTGCAGCCTCGGGGACGTCGGGCGGGGGCACCCCC